TCTGCCTCAGCCTCCCGAGTAGCTGGGACTACAGGCATGCGCCACCATGCCCGGCTAATTTTTTTTTATATACGATTAATTTCTTTGTATTTTTAGTAGAGACGGGGTCTCGCTCTTGCTCAGGCTGGTTTCGAACTCCTGAGCTCAAACAATCCGCCTGCCTCGGCCTCCCAGAGTGCTAGGATTACAGGCGTGAGCCACCGCGCCCGGCCTATACAATATGCTTTGACACATGTATACATGGTAGAATGGCTCATATGCTTTGACACATGTATACATGGTAGAATGGCTCAACTGAGCTCATTAAGATATGCATTACCTCACATACTTACCATTTTTTTGTGGTGAGAACACTTAAAATCTACTCTCAGCAATTTCCAAGTGTACAATTCATTGTTATTTATTAACTATAGTCACCAGGAGGTACAACAGATTTATGGAACTTATTCCTCCTCTATAAATGAAATTTTGTGTCCTTTGACTAACATCTCCCCAATCTCCCTACCCCGCCTGGATCAGGGTTTTCTAATTAAACAATGGGTTGTATTTGGCCAATTAGACCGGATGGGAAAATATTTATTATGAGCCTTTTCTATGCAAGGCAATTGACCTTGACACAGAGATGGAAGCTATGACCTCAGGAGGCAGGAAGTTACGTAATTTTTCCAGCCTCAGGACCTTTACATTAGCGGTTCCATTGCCTGGGAAGCATTTTCCCTGGTTGCTCTATTTTATCATTCAGGGATCAATTCTCAAGTCACCTTCTTAGAGACCTGCCTGGCCCCACTCTCTAAAATGACTCATTCACTTTCCTTTAACCCTTTAATTTTCTTTATAACCATCACTCACAGATATTTTCCCGATTGCTTATTTGTCTTTTATGTATTTATTTTCTATCCCTTCCCCAACCCACCAGAACTCGCCTATCAGCTCACTGCTCTTGGCCTGTACTCTCCAATAAGGTAGATGACCACTAGCCACACGTGGTTACCGACCACTTGAAACGTGGAGAGTCAGAACTGAGACGGGCTGTTAGGCATAAAATACACACCAGGATTTTGAAGACTTAGTACAAAAAAAGAATCAAAAACATTGCAATAATTTTTTATTTGATTACATGTTGAAACAATAGTTTAGATATGTTGGGTTGAAAGAGATATAGTCTTAAAATTAATATCATCTGTTTCTTTTGCTAATGTGAACATTTTAAATTACGTATGTGGTTCACAGCATATTTCTGTTGGCCAGCCCTGGCCTAGAGGGTGCCTGGCACATAGCAGACACTCAATAAATATTTGTTGAATGAATAAATGAATTCTAATCACTGCTCTGAAGATTGCTTCTGTTGCCCACTGTATTTCCTTTACAATGGGTTTTATTCAGTTCGAAAAGAAAGTAAAACTCTGGCCTTTTTTTTTTTTTTTTTTACAGTAGCTTGGCAGCTATCAACAGTTCTACCCATACCCCCAAAACAAAGTAGTCAATCATCAGGAAAAACCCAGAACTGGAAACAGATTCCTGTTAAAAAGGGAGGCTACAGATTGCGTTCAGATTTAACTATAGGGAGTCAATGGAAATGACAGCGGAAGCTATAAAAAGACTCACATAAGATCCATGAAGACAGTAGGGGCCATTTAAAAAGAATTCTGTGGGTAACACACTCACTGAAAAGAAAGTCCTTATCTGGATGGGAAGGGAGAGAGAGCTGCCTTTTACTGAATGCCTGACTTCAGCAAACAAAGAAATGTCATTTCCTAAATTAAAAAGTAACACCACCCTAGGGAATACCCTGATTTCAACCTACCCACCCACAATAACAAGTCATCAGCAATCAGAATCCTTCAGATCAGGATGAAGCTTGAACTTCACTGCAAGAATACACACAAAAAGGTTCCGGAACAAATTCTGAGCCCTAGGGGCCTTGACCTCTTTTGAGAATTTCTCCTCAGGAAACTGCCTTTAAACTCCAGGTACTTACAGGAGTTAGGACTCCCAGAATAAATGCCAAATCTATTCCAAATTTCCATGTAAGTGGGGTTCAGGGGGAAGGTAGCTGGAAGGGAGAAGCCGGAAGGATGTGTTGAGGTTTTGCCCTTGCATAAGAGGCACTCAGATTGTACGTTCTTTTGGGCTGGCTTGAAGGCTATCCAACATTCTCTGACTTCCCCGCTGTTTTCTGATGGTGACGGCAATCCACAAGAATAAAGGCAAGTACCACAGGCATCAGTGTCTCCTAAACTTGCCTGATGACACATCCCCCGCGCCACCACACCTCCACTGAATTAGTCTCCAGTGGGAAAGGCTCAAAATACATTGTTTTAACAAGGACCCCAGACCCCATTTTTATGAACAGGCAAGTTTGGGAAGCTCCCAGCCACCCACTGAGGCGGGTACTATCATCAGCCCATTTTGCAGACACAAAATTGAGACGTCGCGGGGGGTGGCTAAGTGGCTGGTCCACAGTCACGATCACTCAGCTTATACGGGCAGAGCTGACTCCCATCCAGACCTGGGAGCGTGTCCCCTGGCACCTGGGCGCGCACCCCCTAGGGGAATCCCCCTTGTAGGGCTTGGCGCCCCCTGCGTCCCACCCGGGCGCCCCCATCTGTCCCGGGGGTGGGGTCCCCTCCGGCAGAAGCCGGATCTCCCGGGTCCTGTCGGCGGTGGCAGCGGGGTGGCGGCCGCTGACAGCGAAAGTGAAACAAAGCTGGGCGCCGGGCGCGCACCCCCGCCGACCGCCCAGGCCGGACGCCCCCGCCGCGGCCAGGCCCCGCCCCGCGCCCGGCCGAGCCCGCCCCGGGGTCACCTCCCCCTCCCCGGGGAGAAGGGGCCTCGGCCCCGCGGGGCGGTAACGGGCGCGCCCCGGCCCCACTCACCTCCGGCCTCCATGGAGGACGCGCGCGGCCCCCGCGGCAGGCGGCGGGCGCCTCAGCCCCCCGGGCCGCGGGCCCTCATGCCGCCCCCGCGCC